GAGAAAAAAACCCACAGAAAATCATGCCTTGATGGAATGATGTTTCCTGCAATGCTTCTATTCCAGCACCCTTCTTTGCAGCAAAAGCAACCGAGCAAGGATGTTGACTGAAAGACACTCAATGAACAGTTCAAGCCTAGAGAAAAGAATGTAAATATTCAGTGGTGGGAAATCTGCTGCACTGTCTGTGCTTGCCTGAAACATGTAATTAAAGAGTTTTAAAGAACCCTTTGCTTCCTGCCTGATAAAGAATGTCTGCTTTTGCCTTTTTATAAAAGTATGTATAAAGGCTTCACAGTTTTCCATGGGAGATCATATTGACCTGTGCAGAAGAAAATGACTCGTTACGGATGACCTGCAACTCTAAATGTGCTCCTGATAGAGTATGCTATGGCAGAGCACAAGGTACGGCTGACCACTAAATTGGATTTCTTGTCACTTTGTCACTTGCAGCCTCCTGTGCTACCATGCCCATGACAACACTGCAGCGGTTGCCAGCGGGGGCATCACTACGCAACAGTGGTGTGTCCTTTCTTGCGAAGGCTGACATGTGAACGTAGGGGAGCGATTTAATCACATACTTGTATTGGTAAATTTGTATTTCTAACAGAAATTCTTCTACTTCCTACAGTTAGGAAAAAAAAAATCCTCACACCTTATCCTTGTTGCATAGGTAGCATAACTGAAAAAAAATTGTGCCCTCCTGTTAAGAAAGCTCATGTGAAAGTTCTCACTTCAGCACTTCTCAAATTCCATTTTTGTATGCTCACTGTCTGTACGTCCAGTGGAATTCCTCTCGGAAAAGTGTGCAAGGTAAAGATGCAGTAGAAGACAACAGCGCTTTAATGAAGAAGAAAAGTTACTGTCTGCTGGAAGGAAAGGTGTGTGGGAGGAGGGGAGTCCATGTGGTTCCTACGTGCAGCTCAGAGCTTCAGTGAATACCTTCTCCATCGTCTGCTGTGTGGATGCTATTATCCCTGAATTCATGGGTTGTATGGATTTCTTATCTCTCAACAGATGAGGGAAGAGAGCAAATTCTGTGCCTGAGACTTGTTCCCTGGGCACGCAGGGAACAGTGAAATTGTAAAAGAACGGGAAGGGCTGGGGAGCTGCCTAGAAAAACAGCATTTTTAACTAAGTTGTAAGTAGACACAAGTTCTGCTTAAAAGAGAAGTAATTGAGCAAGCAAGACAGGAAGAATTACCTTTAACAGCCTTAGTCATGGGGAAAAGTTTTTTAAAATATTTACTATGCTTGTCACGTTGCTTAAAATCTTGCACAAGTCAACTGATTTGACAGCAATTTTCAGATATGAAAGAAGTAACTGAGCAATGTTAAAATTTAAACTGTTTTAGAAGGCAACAACATGCACTTTTGTGCATATTTTCTGCACAAGTGTTCTGGCTGGAGTAGAATGGCTGCTCGTAGTACACACCTCTAAAGTATCTGATGGTGGATGGGAGACAAGGAGAAAGTCTGCGAATAAGCTTTCATAACCATCCGTGGCTGTCCTTTTAAGTGCACTGATGAAGCGAGGAGGCACAAGTCATAATTCTTTCACTATTGCTGACACAGGGCAGGGAAACCTAATATCTCTTGCCTGTTTAAGGTAAAAGCTGTTGGAAGCTGCAGCTCATCTTTTAAACATAATTAGTTTAGTGCTTACTGTTGCTATTTCTGAGACAATGTAAAATAGATGCAAAGAAATATTATTTATTAAAAGTAACAAAACATTGGCTAGTGAACAAAAAGTTAGAAACAAAGCCTCTGAATACATCAGGAAATTACATGTGCTTTTTGAGCCTTTGGCTGTTTTAAAAACCATTCGGTGCTGCCGCCTTCTTGCATGTCAGCCCTCCTGCGTTACTTTCCCCTCTCCTGCTGCATCCTCACACTGTTTTCCTGTTCTGCCCTCCATCTCCCTGCCCATACTTGAGCACAGTTGCTCTAGGAATTGCTGCCATCTCCTCTACCGTGTGCTGACATCGTGCCAGTAAGGGTACGGTGCTCTTGTATCTTGTACGTGGTGCTTGAGGACATAGTTTAGTGGTGGATTTGGCAGTGCTAGGTTAACGGTTGGATTCGATGATCTTAAGGGTCTTTTCCAACCTTAACGATTCTATGATTTTATGATTCTATGCTAAAAACCCATGCATTGCTATCTGTTTCATCTTTTTCCTGTGCTAGAGTTGTTGGTGTTTGCACTGCCCTGTGTTCATTTGTCTGAAGGGTTTTGGAGGAAGATGCTCAGTTGTTCTGCTCCTGTAGGACATGAATAAACCAGTGCTTTCATTTTAGTACATTTCTAGAGGTTGGGATTTAGGAGAGGTAGTTGATATGGGGAGAAAGGAAGGAGAAAGGAGTAAGTAATCCAAAGTTAAGAGCAGCCTTGTGAGAGGGTAGACATAAGTAAGGGTGCAGGTGAATCTCTGGCGGGGAGGTGGGCAGTGCCTGTGCCTCAGCGTTTTCAGCAGCTTAGGGGCATGTTGGGTACCTCTTCAGCTGAATATTAAAGAAAGGCTTTTTCGTTCATGGGTTAGAAAGAAAAATGCGTAATGGGATTATCTACGGGCACTGCTTCAGCCCGGGAAGGAGCTGACTCGGTTCCTATGCTATCCTCTAAGCCTGAATTCAAGCAGACACCTGCTACTTGACCCTTAGCCTATGCGCTGCTCGTCCTCCCCAACTGCACGCTTTGAGGCAAGACTTGCCAGTGCAGTATGGGTGTGGGTAGGAACATTTTCTCAACTCAGAAAAAAAAGGGTAGGAGTTTTTATTGAACTGTTTGGAGCCTGATGGTCCTCCCCTAGCTCCTCCCTACAGCACCAGCGGGATCCAGGTGAGACATGACTAAGAGTAAAGCCAAATATTAGATGGGGAAAAAATTAAGATGGTGTGTTTGTAGCAACAACTGGCATATCCTCTGTGGACTGGGGAACAAAGGCCAGTCCCCCAAAGTCTGGGACTGGAGCATTTCTCATGGTTCTTCACACCTCTTCTTACAAAGGGCACCTTGAGGTGTCCACATCCTTGCAGGAGGGAGGCGGAAAGGTGGAGGCTTGGAAGCGAGCTGAATTTTGGGTAGAGATCAGAGCAAGGACTTTTATCAGGAATGCGCTAGAAGCTTGTCACCTCTCGCTGAGCATAGTTAAATGCCTTATGAGAGCTGAGCGGACAGAAAGATTTGCAAGGGCAGGAAGCAACTTTGACACTGTTCTGGTGTGAGCACCTCACGTCTTAAGCAGCATGTTTAAAACCACTGCTGCTAAAGGGAGCCTGCCCAAAAGATGGTTTGAGATGAGTTCGGCCTATTGAAATTTTAAAAGGAAGTGTAGGTTTGTGCTGCTTTGTTGCCTGCTTGCTGCAAATGAAACCCATGTAGTTGCAGGTGGATGTCTCTCCTAGAACTGAAGATCACTTTTTCCTCTAAATTACGTTCCATTTCACCACCACTCAAAGCAAAGATCACTTAAACAATAGTGGATGTAAACGAGAAATCCAAAATGGTAATAAAGTTGGTAACATCGGGTAGAAAATAATGCTCCCTTGACCTTGAACAGACATACGTGGAAGTAGGGGTAAGGCATTTTCTGTAATGTGTTCCAGTCCCAAGAGAAGATATCTCGGAATGATGGAATTCCCTGGTTGTGTAAAATTGACATTAACCACCCCCCCCACCCCCCCCAACTATTAATTTTGGCCCTTGTGTCCGTGTACTTCAAAGAAAAAGCTCTTGAAAGTGGCCTTGAGGCAACTATGTACTGCAATAGCGTCATAAGGCAAGCCAGCTGGCCTACAGGAACCCCAGAAAGCAGGAGAGCATGGACGAGGAAGTTACCGGCAGAGAAAACAAGATGCGCTTACGGCCATCTTTGTGAACTCTTGCGGACTACGTTACATCAACTTGTCTCTTCCATTTCTCTTCCGTAACATCACGCTTATCGAACCCTCCTGAGTCTTTTTTGCAAACACAAGTAATTCAGGACCCGGGCATCGTAGGGATGCGAAAGGTCTCTCAGTCGCCTCTGTGAGCATTGGTGCCTATCACACTCCCGAGGTCCCCAAATGCTCCCTGCCTGCTGGCCAATTCGTCCTCCTCCCTTGTGGCTTCCTGATAGCCCCCTTCTGCCCAAAAGCCGCAGAGCAAGGCATGGCAGTGTCTGCCTTCACCTGACCTCTTCTGCCCTGGCTTGCCCAGGGAGACATCACACTTGCTTTGAGGAGGGGAAAACAGGAGGCCAGGGAGGCTTAAATGGCCAGAGGTGGTGTGGCAAGGCTGGGTGGAGCCAGACAAACCCCACCATTGCATCTGTTGGCTGGTGTTGCCCTCCTCTGATCTATGCGCAGCTCTCAAGGGTTGGACACAGGGAATTGGTGGTTTGATGCTCACGGTGGCATCTCAGTGGGCACACTGAGACTGCAGGACTCTGGGCCGGCTTAAACAAGGCCTTCTGGACCTCTGTTACGTGCCAGGAGACTGATCCTCTCCTGGCAGTGCAAAAATGAAGAGTTACGAGCTTCTGGAGGCAGAGCTTACACCCTGACACAGTGCCTCCTCCAGCTCTGCCGGGGCCCGATAGCTCAGCTGGGACGGGCTATTTTTTACAGCTTTGCTACAAGAAAACGCTTGCACATGTTGAACGTTTCTAACCTGCTTTACTGAACTTGCAATTACAAAGGAAATTTACAACAAAGCACTTAAAGAAACAGAAGTTAAAACACAATACATTTATACCTAGTATTTCAAAGGGCTTGAACGACTATCAGGTACAATTAAGACTTGGAAACAACATTAATATTCAAAGTGTACCCACACATACACTTATCACTGTAAAATGTTTCAAGACACTCAATCACATATATACAGCAGTATTCCTAAAAACACCAGTTGAAAACATCTTGTGAAACTACAGGGTTCAGCTTTTTCATTTTGAAACAAGGAACGTGGTTTTGAACAGATTTATAGCACAAGGCAAAGAGTCAAAAGCAAAATGGCGGACCAGGCCGCAGCCACAAAGCAATGCTCCGACACTGGAAACAGGATCTCTTCCTCCTCTGTCAGCGCTGAAAGCCCACAGGAGAGTTGGTACAAACGGGGCTGCTACAGCCAGAAGATCTCTGAGGAGACTGCTGCTGTAGTATCTCCTCCTTATTCCTGCCTGAGAGAAAGAACTGACATACCCACAGGCTGCAGCATCACGAGGTTCTGGAAAATCAAGTTCTTTCACAAAACGGTTTTCATTAACTCCGTGCTCCCCCTTCCTGCACGGAGACTCCAGAGGAGACAAAAGGATGGCAGAGCTAGGATCCCCTGGAGTTAAGTCCACTAGGATACCAGAATCACCGAAGCTTCCCAGAGAAAATTCACCCAGGGAATTCAGTGAAGAAGGTGGGCTTTGAGGACAGGCATCTTGAGCGCAGAAGGTGGTTTGAGTGACCTCCACATCCAGGCTATATGGCACCACATCCGTCTGGACGGCCCGTTCCACCATCACGCTGCTGATTTTCTCCTCCTCCTCCTCATTAAGAAGCAGCCCACTGTCTGCCACCTCCTCCCGAGCTTGGTCCTCTGTGATGTGGCTGCCCGGCACCGTGGCACACAGCTCTGACGGCTTCTCCTCGGAGGCACACGTGTACTCCAGGCACTGCTCATCTCTCTCGGAGCTGTTCCGAGCCATCTCCATCCTCTGCAGCAAAGACTCCAGCTTCTTGTTTTCAGTGCTTATGCTGATGTAGTATTGCTGAATTGTTTTGTCTTTCTCAGCCAAGCTCTTTTTCATGCTTTCAATAAGCTGCTGGAGCTCTTTAATTTCCCTTTTTGCTTCCAAGAACGCCAGCTCCATCTCCACATGATTACACTCTTCTTCAAGCCACTCTTCCTGCATCCGTCCCAGCTGAGCCTTGAGCTGCTCTATTTCGCTTTCCCTGGAGCAAAATAAAAAGGTTGTAACACTTGTGCTGACTGGGCAGTTCAAGAGTCAAGGGGAGGCTCCACCGCACTGGCATGGCTGTGTTGCAGCGATGCTCCCAGAAGGAAGACAATGCTGCAGAGATGCTCCCAGAAGGAAGCACATTCCTGCAGGCATCGTTTGCTGCCGCCTCTGAGAGAGCAGCCAGAGGTGTAAGCTGGCTGCCAAGACACGCCAGCTGCTTGCTAACTGGGGTCAGCCACCTCGCCACACAGCCAGCAGCCCTGTGGGCTGTGCTGGCATCCTGCACATTTTGAGGTGCAAGTGGTGGCCTCCAGCTTAGGTCCAAGCAGCACGGCGCTTAACATCTCCCCTACTGCCTCGCCCTGGAGCAAATGAGAAACAGCTGCCTGGAGGCGTCCCCTGTGCCCGCCAGCAGCTCCTCACGGACAGCCAGAGCCAGCGCTGGGCTCGCACAGCAGGACGGCTCGGGGCTGCAGGCACTGCCTTGCTTTGCACCCACCCAGCCCAGCGCGGAGCCAGAGGCTGCTGCCTGGACTTGCAAGCAAGGGGGGAGAGGGAGAGGGAGAGATCCAGCCCTCGCCGATGCAGAGGTCGGGCTGCCCCGAGCTGCACCAAGGGGTCCCTGGGACTCTGCCTTGGGGCTCCATTCAAACACCCCTGTGGGCCCGCTTGCCTCGTGTGTGCTGGAGAGCCGACTCTCTGAGGGCAGCGTTAGGAAAAGAGATGACAGCTCTTGCTGTCTAATGCACAGGGTCACTTCTTTGCTTAGCCTCCATACAAAGGGCTAGCGGGAAAAATGCAATATCCAAGTGCCGACAAAAGCACAAGTGGGCACGCTGGTTGGTGTGAGAGCTTTTCTTTCGTTAGGGGAGAAGGGAGACATTTGTAGTCATATTTCACTGAGTGAGACTAAGGTAATACGTGCTTGCAGGTAGAAACCGTTTTATGTCTAAAAGGTCTCAGTGCTAAATCAGATGGGTAAAAAATTATCTTTGAAAAATATTCGATTGGGAAAGTTCAAAAAAGGGAAAAGAGACGGCCATATTCATAACTAAACTGCACGGTACGTAGTCACTGCGCACGCTATGAAACCTGAAATACCTGAAACCAACCTAATCAGACTGATCACATTTCAGATTTCTTAATGACAACTTGCTGTGCTCAAGAAATGAGGAGAAACATTCAGGATTCGCACCTCTCAGTGCTCCTCAATAAATCTTTCTAACTCTGATCTCCAAAGTGAAAGATACCTTTCTTGACGCTTGCTCTCAGATTCCTTCAGCTTTGTTTTCAAACGCTGTACTGTAACTTCTTTCTGCTGCAGAGGAGTCAAACACTGTCCTGGATTTTCTGGCTTGATGCTGAGATTGTCACCACAAGAAAGAGATCTCCCTGATCGCCTGAACAGAAAATAAACAAACGAAACCATCACATAACATCCCTCCTACGGTTCTTCAGCCCTGGCAAAAAGAAAAACATCCCACAGACCGATACAAAGCTTGACTCATTTGGGGCTCCTCAGTGTCCGCACAAGGGACTCCCTCTGGCAAAGCAAAGTACCTGAGGCAACGGCTCATTTGCGGCTACAGTGTAAAAGGTACTAGTTGTTGTCCTTGTTTTCTGTGCCATTACATCAAATGAGACATGGCGCTTTGAAATACCTAGCCATCCCCTCACCCAAAACGGGTGCTGTGCCCAAGAGCAGGTGGCCGGGCCATGGGCAAGGGCACTCAGCTGCAGGCATGGCCAGGTGAGGCAGCGTATGGACCGAGCTCAGCTCCACACCTCAGTTACGAAGCTGAGCACCCTGAAACCAGGATTCATCCTATCTAGCTTTAGGTGTGTATCTGACGGGCTTGGCTGCTGAGTTGCCCAAGAGAGAGAGAGAGCGAGCACGCACCTGTACGAGCCTGAGCTGCTCTTGCTGTCTGAAGAAGCCTTGTAATTCTGACGGATGTTAGCAGGACTCGGCTGGGTTTTGCACACCGTTGACAAAGGGTCCTTTCCGCGGGAAGCAGGTGGGCTGGCTCTGGACTTGTAGCAGAAGGATCCAATATTCCGACCATCGGGGCCACGGCTGGAGGGGAACCAACATGGTTAAAACATGTTGCATGATCCTCATCACACAACCCCTTACATGTCTTATTTTACACACCAAGTTGTCTAAACACTAAGACAGACAGACAGCTGTGAGCGGCCGGGAAGCAAGAAAGTCCCAAAGTCGTCAGTCACTGCACGTTCTTGCACTGACTGCGGGGCTCTCACTCTGAATTACGTCATCTAGGGAAACCTCGGCCATTTTCACTTTTCTCTCTGGACAACACGGTTCCCAGTGACTCCATCAGATCACCCCCATTCCCTGAACCTCTGACTCCAGGAAATAAGGAGAGGACGGCAGCCTGGACCAGTGCCAAAAGAACCACGCTTCAGCCTTTCCCTTCCAGGCCTGCGGAGAGATTCCCATCCGTGGAAGTTTGCTAAGACTGCTTTCTGCTGAGAGAGAGAGCATCTTTCATGAAAGGTTCATTTCCATAGGTGACTGTGATCATTTTTTTCATTTGCATATAGTTCTAGTTCTGTAAAGGCTGGGCAAGGGTGTTGAAGAGGAAAGCGTCACAGGCAACTTCTTCCTACAGAAAATAAGGTCATGACCTGGAAAGGTACATGCCGAGCTGACAGGTTATTACAAAGAGAAAACAGGGATAAGACCAAAAGGTCAAGGTTCACTGGTTAGAAGCCCTGCTGTTACTTAACATATACCCACTTGTCTCCTCCTCCACTCCAGCCCATGCCTTTTCTGGCGTACCGGACTGGATCTCCCATGCTTGTTAGGAAGAAACAACACAAAAATACCAGTCGGCTGACCTGCCGCATTGACAGGTTTTGCACCAGCAACGCTTGCGCTATGCAGGAAAAACTGCTATGCTTACTTGTGAGAAAAAGAAGATCTTTTGCTTCCAGCAGCTGACGCATGGACTTGAGGCGCTGAAATACCGCCCGTGCTGCTTGAAGAGCTGACATTGGCTTTGCTTCCTGGAAGGGAAAAGGGAAGAGTAAAAACATGATGGAAATGATAACTCAAAGACTGTTTTCAAAATAACAGTGAATCACAATGAATCCTGCCTTTGTCCATCCCGTGTGAATTTCAGCAGTTGCATGAATTTTCAAACATCCCTGAGGACAAGCACCAAAGTATATAAACCACAGAACTTCCCTATCTTCTGACTCCATAAACATGACCTCTTCATACATATATATGTGTGTGTGTGTATATCTATCAGTCTTGATGCCAGGTTTTGCATATAGTCACCCAGTGAAACAGAGCTGTAACTAAAACAGGGCTGACAGAGACGGCTTGTCCTCAGAATGGAAAGCACTTATATTTGCTGCACTTCCTTGCCTTCAAAAGCATCCTGCTCTACGGCAAAGAGACCAAAACATGAACATAGAGGTTCACTACTCCCGTGCAGCAACTAGAGGAACAAGTGGCACGCTGTCTCTGTGGATGGCTTTATTTCGAGACCCCAGGGGAAGAGAGAGGGCCTGACTGCATAGGAAGTTCCAGCAAAGCCATTGGAAGCAGCTGGAAAAGTAGAGAGAACTCAGTTGTAATGCCCACTATTGAAAGGACCTGTATTTTTAAGAGATGCCCTTTAATTTGTCTTAAAACCTTTAACTCACAGCTATGTCTCCAGTTCCATTCTTTAACAGCATAAGCAGTACATTTCCAGGAAACACTAATGCTTTTTCTTTTTATTTAAAATGGGGTTGTTCCTGCAAGATTGTTTTGTACGCCACAAGCAATCTAGGAAAGAAAACCACACTGCTCACGTGCACTGACAAGCACAAGAAAACAAAGCTGCCAACAAGTGATGAAGTCTTGCTTTAACATCTCAGGCTTTTCTTCAGATAACACCCTTAAAAATGACGCATTTCAAGGGCAAAACAAAAGGCTCTTTCCAACAGAGACAGAAGGATGCTACTTTGCTACACCAACCTCATTAGAAACATTGAGACTGGAGGTTCAAGAAATAGAGAGTTGTATAACATGACACTCAACTTGCCTACAACAGTTTTCTAAAATGCATCTGTAAATCCACCAACGGACAAGTATCATTTCTAAGGAAGCACGTAGTGGCACCTCAGGAGATTTTTCGTACCCCTGGCAGTACTATTTGGTCTGCTTGAAGGGAAATGGACAGGCTGGTCAGAAGCACTTTTAGGAGCTGGAAAATGTCCCCTTTGGCAGGGACAACTTAGCAGCACACAGAAAGGGAGCCAGCTCTATCACAGACTAGGAAAACACCCCAGCCCGCCCATCACGGTGGTGGCAGAATTTAACAAAGGCCTTTCAGAGGCCCCTTCAACACATCTCCTAAAGCTGCTTCCAGTGCGCAAGGAGGAGAGAGGCTGGCTGGTGCACAGCAACGAACCGTGCAGGCACGCCTTCACAGCATGTATGCAAATGCATCGAGTCCCATGCTACACCTGATTCAGCTGAAAGCTTTTGCACAGTCACCCTTAATGTAAGACATTTGGCTTTCATTATAACGGGCATAAAACATTTTAAATCAGTTTGACCTGTTTTCAACAGGGAGGAGAAAACACTGCAATGACAAACATGTCTGGGAGGTAACTAATTAAACAACCCTGCAGTAGTCCCAGGATGAAAGGCAAAATTTGTCAGAAGCTAATCAAATATATTTACTGCACCGCACACCTTGAAGTGATTCAAAAAACTAAGAGAGTTCAAGTGTCATCTGCTGACAAGAACAGCAAAACCCTAGCCAGTATATTGATCGGCTGCCTAAACTATATTTTCGATAGTAACAAAGCCAAGGCAGGTCTGAGGGCAATGCATTTCAAGTTATGACTGCTTTTTTCCCCCAATTGCACTCTTATCATTAAGAAACACTAATGACAGATGTGAAGCCTGGGCTTTTGCAGCCTGTTCATCCTTAGAGGGTTTGCGGTCACACCATATTCTGCCAACTCTAGCAACGCTCACACCCTGTCGAGTGCCCAGATTTCCAAAGCCAACAGCTTACTATTCCTGACAGAATTTCAGAAGGGCGGAACAGGAGACCTGTAACGAAGCACCTCAGCGTGGAAGCAAGACAAGGCTGGGAATACCAATAAAATAAGAAACAAACCCTGCAGAATTTCCATTTCCTTCAAATACATTCTACGGAACGGTATATCTAAGACAGGCTGTTATAAAGTAGGCTTACTATTTTGTTATGTCACGTGAAAGGCAACATATTGCCAGCTCCTTGCGCTGTAGAGCACTAGGCTCTACAGTCTACACTTTTGGGCAAAGTCGGGCAACCTCTATCTAGTGGCTCTGCCAGATGCTGGGTTTTATTTTCTTTTCTTCATGGTGGGTTATTATTTATTGCAACAGGGACTGGACGTGCATTTCTCCCTTCTCCTAGGCTCCTCCTGAGCTCAGCATCAGAACACCAAATGAGGACCAAAACAGTGTGAAGGCATCAAAAAGACAGCTTTCCCAGGATTTAGGTATCTAGGTACAGAAAAGCCAGCAGAAGACCACTGTTTCAGCAGGCCAAATGTTCAAAAGGCCACCACAATCTGCAAAGACCCGCTCAGTTGTTCATGGTCAAGCATCCGCTTTGGAGCCCAGTAACCACCAGCTTACCCAATGCCCTCATACCACAGTGAAATCAAACAAGTGAGATTTGCATGACTAAGATCAAGACATGCCCCGAGCTTTCTATGCCTACATATAAAACCAGATATGGAAAGAGAAGGAACATATAGACGTATGCACTCAATACTGCTCCAAAAGTATTAACAGTAATCACTCTGAGGGAAAGAAAAACTTTGCGGTGGGTAATTTGGTCACCAAAAACCAAAGTTGAGAGACTACTGAATTTATTTAATTTAAAAGCAGAGCACCAAAAAAAAAAAAAAATCTCCTAAGGGAAGATTCAGAGTGGCCTCTTTCATATGCTCCGTATTTTTTCTGTGGAGGTGCAGTGGGCTGAAAACCACAGAAGACAGCTAGGAAGAGCAGAAAATTTGCTGCAGCAAATACACAAATTGCAAAGCATGTTCTAGCCTGACCTCACACCATTTTGAAACAAATACTTAAGAGTGTGCAGTGTGTACAGCATCGGTTTCTCTTTTTTGACTCATATTCCATACCGGATTAGCAGAGGAGAGGAAAAAACCTGCTTGAATCTACAGAAAGTCATTTTTTTGACTAAAGATCACATCGCATGCCATCTTCCACACCTGCCTCAATGCTGACCTCTAAACCCCAGTGCCCTTCCTACACCAGGAACTCAGCCATCTTTGCAGGGGCACGTCCCCACAATCCCCAGCAGACCTGCAGCTCGAGCAAAAGGCATCTGCAGCTAAAAGATGAATTGGCTGGCACGGGTCTTGGCCTCTCCAGCAGCCCAGAGGCTCAGGCGCTCCCTGCAAAAGTCCCATATCCGCATCCCCTGCTCACGCAGATTGGCAGTTAGAGCCGTGGCTCTCCCACAGACCAAGCGCAAGGCTAAGCTCGAGGTTGCAGGCATCCCGAGGCAACAATCTCCCTTGAACGGTGGCCGTCCCACTTTCTGTAAAGCTGGTGCGGTGATGGGACAATTCATGGGCCAGAGAGAGAGAGAAAGAAAGGAGTTATGGTGTGCCTGCTGGGAACTGGCTTCAAACCCCCAGGAAGACAGGTACTAAATTATACCAAGCGGAAGAGCTCCCTGGGGAGCAGACTCCCTGCATCCCCTCAGCCTGCTCAGCAGCCTGCTATTAGGCCACTCTTCTCCTTTGGGCTCAAGTCCATCCTCCAAAAGAGGCAGGCAAACAGAGCTAAGTACAAGTTTTCCCTTTACTGAACTAACCAACAGGGATCTCCTTTTATGTTTTTTTCTCTTTGTGAGGAAGGAGACAAGTGCCTAAGTGCAGAAGATTTGTGCCCGAGACCCTGAATTGCAGGTGGCCCATGCCGCCAGCCTAGAGCTGAGCTGGTCCTTCTTTGGGACAGAGGGGATTCAGGCTTTCGCCTTTTACTTGCCCATTCCTCCTTTGTAACTTGATGACTTCTGGTTTGGATCCTTCATTTGCGCTGTGAGGTCTGGATGCTTGCTGCAACCTGAGAGTCTGCTGAACAAACGGAGATACATGGTTTAGTGGTGCACTTGGCAGGGCTAGGTTTAAGGTTGGACTTGATGACCTTCAAGGTCTTTGCCAACCAAAACGATTCTCTGATTCTATGTCTTGAGAGGCCACAGCCCAACCGCTACTTGCCTACGTCTCTACGGAGCAACATCAGCAAGAATTCTTTAGAAGGGGGTGGACCGTAACATTTGTGACACAGAATTAAAAGGTCGCTTTCCCAGGTCACTTTCATTCAACAGGAACTTGTAGATTTGGGTTCAAAAATACAAAACACTGTCAAGCCAAAACAGTCTTTGTAGCTGCTACACTTTGCTTATTCGCCTTTGAAAGACATACTTGGCTATGGGAACATGTTTTCCACATCAATTCAACTGAATCTGTTGAAATTCAAACTTTAAATCTAAAACATATAAATTCCAAACAAAAAATAATAGCGCTATGCTAATCATTTTTACCTTACTTTTTAAGCATCCTTTGCTCCAAATATATCTATTCTGATTAGATTGCAGTATTATCTCTCGGAAGTTAGAGAGCACTTCTTTCACTTCAGTGCAATTCACTTAGCTTATGTCCTGAAAATACTGCACTCCTGCTGGCTAACAGAAGTCACAGTGCGACACGAGCGACAGAATCTCTCTGTGCAATGCCAGACGCCTTGGGCAGTGGTCCTCAGAAACAGGACAAACAGAGAGTGCCTAAGCTTGTCAGGGATGGACAGAAGAGGAAAAGGCACCTAATTAGACCTACTTGAAGATCCAAGCACAAGCCTCCAACACAAACGTTCTTCTGCAACTCAATGTCTAGGACTGACTTTTCTTTCTGTTAAAAACAAAACAAACAAAAATAAACCAGGGAGAAATAAGAGAGACGGAGACTGTACTTGGCTT